AAGAAAAGTGTTTTGACTTCAACTGTTGTGAAGGGTGGTTGGGGTTCGAGAGCTGTACATGGAGGTTTCGGAAAAACTCCTAACATGGTTTAAATGAAATTTCACAATGGACATCGGAAATAAAAAACTTTATGAAAATGTGTTGTTGGTGGTGTATGTATATATGTATTTATGTTGAGGAGTGGAATCTAATGAAGCAAAGGTGTTAGCAGAGTTCGAAATTGGTGTTTGGTATCTTCATTGATTTGGCAATATTCCTAAAAATCGCATACCATCCATTGCACTGTAACCGTTCTAGCAAAGATATGCTTCTTCATCTTCTTTGTCATATTTTGTGCTTTATTCCTGCTTGCCTCGAAGGATAATAAGGCTGAAAATTGCCGGGGAAGGGCAGGCAGAGAAATGGAAGAAGGGGGAGCTGTTATTTTCTGTCTGCAGTGTAGTAATTTCTTTCTTCCCTCTGCTGAGTTGCCTTAGGCTAGGAACTTATGAAAGATTATAAAACCATGCTTCTTTTCGTTTTCGTTTTTCTAGTAACTTGTTTATATTGACTTTTAGGCGAGATGGAACTGGAAAAAAGGCCAGTAAAAACATTGTGTTATTTAACTAGTATTCGTAAGGCTTGCTATGATAATTTAAGTAAACTGAATCTTCGTGGAATATTTTTGGAATCTCCTAAATTATAACGTACCTTCTTAAATTTAATTTAAGATACCAATGTATCTTAATGTAGTGGCTTAGATATCTGTGGCTGGGTGACCTTATTATGTCACATGGGTAATTTCAGTTCTACGGCAAGCAGTCTGGCGGAATATGATTAAAATTACTAATAATATTTATTGAATAAATCTGTAACTAACAAAATAGTGATAATTATGGCTATAATGTACATGCAGGGAAGAACACGGTGGCTGAATCTTGCATGCAGTTTTATGATATGCTTTTCAAATGTGCATCTAACTTCATCTGCGTACTGGCTATCCTATCAGATTCTTGGCAACTTCTAACGAATAACATTATCTTCATATGTCTTCAATAAGACACTGGTTTGCATAGTCCACTATCTAGCACAGGAGTTTTTCAGCTAGGAGTGAATTCCCCTTTAATGAGAAAGATTCATAAATTTCAAAAGGCAAATGCAGTCAGCCTTTTATTTACCCGTTAGGTATTTAGTTTTAGTTTATAAATATAAAAAATAACTTTTATTCAAGATTTGATATTTATCAACATTTTCTACACTTTTCTTGTTTAATTTATAAAGGAATTTAAAAAATAATCTAACATATGTGTAAACTAAACATATATGTATAACTAAACACATATTTTTCAAGTTTTGGAAAGGAGGGAGGATGATCATCTACTAATGGTGAGAAAAAGGAACAAACAAAGTTGAGAACCACTAAAGTAGCGTGTTATAATGTGCATTCGATGAAAGTATGAGAAGAAATTGTTAGACCAAACAATTAAAATAAAAAGTTATATAATGATAAAATATTTTGAAATTTGAAAACTTGGATGCTTCATTGTGTTCTTTTATTACATCGATGATACATTTTGTAACAATTCTGGTTATTTAAATTTTATGCATTTGAATATCCAGTGTAAGAAAGGTAAAATGAAGCAAATTTTTAACCTGAAAAATAAGCCATGCAGTATTTCATATGCCTTCCATATGAAGAATACATTACCAGTGAAAAAAATTAAAGATTCTATTTCTCATTAATAATTGTTCTCAATTTCTGAACAGTATGCATTGTACATAATTAATAAAATATGTTTTTAATATTGTGTACCTTGGACTCAGTATTTCTTTTTTTAACTCCTCACAGTTGTACAATGCTGTCTGTATCAGAAGGAAAAAAGAGCAGGGAGAAAAATTTTATGGCTTCATATAAATTTGTAATTCTTATCTCTTGTCTTGGTTTAGTTTGTTTGATTATAGCAAAGCACTCAAGGGCAATTTGTCTAGGAAAAAGCATGCCTTGGGAGGGGACTTTCTAAGAGAAATTGGCTTGTATACATGTTAAACATGAGGAAAACCACGAAAACACACCCATGGTTTCCCCATTTAGCCAGCCTGTTCACAAGATTTGAACTTCGGACTGAACTACCAGCTTTCAGGGATTTTACCACTCAGCCACTGGTGTTCCAATGATACTGTTAGAAGCAATTTTCCTCCTAATATCATCATCAAATTGTAGAGCTTATAATTTAAGTCCAAACTTCCAACAGACTGGGAACGACAGCTTAACAATCCTTTTTTTTTTAATTAAGTCAGAACTGGAACATAAGTGCATAATTTGTGCTTAGAAATCAGTCAGCCGTATGTGGCTGTGGGGATGTAACTTAATGTAACAGTAAATTCAAATGTAAAACTTAGTAGCCAAGGGCTATACAAATGATTTAATGCGAGGTTAGCTCAAACTTCTCACTGGCTTAACAATTTAAATGTCGGCAACTATCCTTCAGAAAGCCAAAGAACTCAGCCGACCTTAACTGAGCTAACAGAAACGTAGAAGCATGGCCTCGAGATGCAGAAATATGCTTTGTTTTACAATCCGAAAAACTCGATTTAAAAATACTCCCAAACTAATTAGCATTTTGGTAGAGAAATGGAAACAGAAGTGACAGTAAAGATCTAAATCATAAAATAACTTGAATCATAAAATAACTTGTTATTTAAAATAATAATAATCTTACAAAAATTTTTAAAAAGGCGAGGACGATTTTTATGTTTTATACTTTTGTATCAGATTGAATTTCAACTCTTTGATGGGTTGTTTTTAATTATTAAGATGTGTAAGAAAGGGAAGTATTTAGAACGATATCAATCCTATGCTGATACCGTTTTGTAATAATATAAAGTATCTGTGATTGCTCTGTTTCATTGCTTTTAGAGAATAACATCATCCTTTTTTCTCTTTTGTTGTTTTATTTGGAATGTGTCTGTAATGGATAGAAAAATATTGACTTATAGATATTTCTAAACAAAGATAATTTTACTTAAAAATGTTTGAGTATATGTGGCAGAGATAAAAAATGATGTGTAAATATCTTTTCACAGTTTATATTGGTTAGATCAATATTTCTACAATTTTTGTAGTATATTGATTTATATAAAAGATGGGACATACAAAGGCATGCTTGATTACTTATATTGTACACTGTACTCTTTTTATTGGGTGGATGGGCAAGACACAACTATCAAAATAACATGCAGAGCTGGTGTAAATTTTCATGAACTTTCATATTTCATTTCAGTGATTTTTCATGTGAAGTAAAGGGTAATTGTGTCTTCGCTGCTTGCTTAAAGGAAAAACTTAAGCTTTTTTTGATCAGACTTTTTTTCATTAACCAAGAAAGAGGCAAAAACTTGCTTAGACAAACTGTTGTAGAATGAATGATGTGTGTCTTGTGTTGTTCCTGTATCAATAAGGTTTTCTATTCATATTATGTATACTCTTGGTATTAAGTTAGTAAACTATGGAAACATTCAAAGTAATTTAGTAACTTTAAGACATTAAGTTCTTTTTCTATAACCAAAAGATATTTAATAGCTTTTTGTCAATCCTAAGAATTTGTTTGATTCAGACTGGCAGCTTCAAAATGTAGCAACAGTTCAGGTCAGAAAACTAGCAATGGTTGATGTCGTGCACCCGAAAAAAGAAAGTTCTAAAGGAGTCTATTTTTGGACTTATTGATAGTCGATAAATTAAACTTTCCAGGTTTTTAATTCAAAATATCTTTTAGAAAATTTCAATTCACCCACACTAAGGGAGAAAGCTAGACATTCTGTCATGTGATTAGAAGGAACAATGTTGAAAAATTATAGAAAACCTTTGATTTTTTGCTGAAGAAAGAATATTTTCTTGTATAAAAAGATAAACTTTTAATTGGAACACTAGCATCTCTAATGGAATTCTTAATAACAACCTGTGATCACAGCTGCTGCGTAGCTTTAGTAATGACCAATAAGTAAAATTAATTTATGTCCCTAGAACAGAGAAAAGTTATATTTTTGAATTTAAAAAAATGTTCCTAGTGTTTCGAGAATTCCTCAACTAATTGGTGTTCATGTTATTTTGACTAAAACTAACAAACTTTACATCCAAAACACTTAATTTTAATTTTTTAAGCTACTGTTCTACTAAAGCGTTCCTTGTCTAGAGCAGTCACTGTTGGTCAACGTAAGTAGCTTCTGTCAAGTTTCGTTTCATGTAAATTTACGGAAGACATTCCATTCTCAGGGTTGAAGAAATGAATTCTGAGAACAAGAACTGCATGTGTTCCCCCCACCCCATCTTTTCATTCGATGCGTATGTTGTTTCTGTTGAGCTATGCGGCCATTTCCTATGCATGGTGCATGTCTCCTTCTTGAAAAATTAAATCAACCGAAGGAATTTTCCGAACTGAAAGATCCCAAAATTAACGCCCGTCCTCTTTTGGGGCGGCCGTTTTGTTCTTCTTCCCTCGTTCGTGTGTTTGCCCAATGAAAATGCGCCCCTTCTCCAGGAGTAAAAGCTTTCGGGATAAAGCGCGCGCCGGTATTGCTGTGTTTCATAATTAGGTTTCTGTTGACTCTGATTTAATTATAGAAACGGCATGCTGGAGTGGCGAAAAAAAAATTCGTTTGTCTATCCATCCCCGTCCTTTTCCTTTCCCCAAAGGGAGGGGGGACGGTGCGATTGGACAGGATGCCTTTCGGAATCTTTGGAGATCCCTTAAAAAAGAAATAAAAAGATGGGATGGTATTTCTCGGATAGACGCTGTGCTGTTGTCATGGTTACGACGAGGCATCCCCCCCTTCCTACAAACTCGCCGATTTTCTTGTTGCTCTTTCGCATAAGCGGCTTATTTTTGCCCCGCCTATTTTATGAGTTTTTTTTTTTTTTTTTACTTTATTCATTCAGAATGTTTGCATGCCGCAAAATGTGTGTTTTTCGTTGTTCTTTTTCCTACGATAGAGCACACTCAAAGTTTTCTTTTCTTATCTTTTCCAGAAATGCTGGAACATAAAAAAGAAGAAAATTTGACGCAGAACAATTATTGACCTTGCCTTTTTTTTACTTCTTTTCATAAATCTAATGGAATTTTTTAGCAATAAAGACTCTAATTGCAAAGCAAAACAACGCCTGAGTAAGGCAGTGCATCAGCCCACAGTTAACTCTGCTTATCGGAAGGAACTTAAATTAACCGCAGAAGAGGGAAGCTAATTTTTTATGCATATTGATATGTCTTTAAATTGTGCTTTTACTTGTAAGAAATGGATTATTATAGTCTTCAGTTTAACATGAAAAACAAACATTTGTTCTTCTTGAACTTTCTTGCATTAACTGATCTTAAACAAGGTTTTGTTTGCATCTATAAAACCCATTATTATAGACCGTGAGATTTTTAAAAACTATTTTTAACATGCCTGTATTTAATATGCTACGCATATTATTCTGAAACTAGACTTTATTTGTTGCTCACAAGTAGTTAAGAAAATTCTGTGAAATAATTAATAATTCTTTAATTTTGTTATTAAAGAATGTGTGTGTGTGTGGAGTTATATCTGAAAGTGTAGAATTAAAAATTAATCAAGAAAAAGAATCATATATATTACTACTTCAATCAACAGGATGTTAAAGGAGTCATACCAATCAGCTCGTTTAGAATGCTAACCAGTAACTAAGTCCCACTAGCGGCCGAGTGGTAAAGTTGCTGAATACTGGTAGTTTAAACATGCATAATTTAAAGAGAGAGTAATCCTGAATTTTCCAGAAGACATTCTGTATGATTGAAGACATTTCTTAAATTCCTAGCCAAAATTAATTAATTAGATTTTGTTTCGGGTTTTCATCCGCAGAGAACCCGTTGGCGCTTCGGGAAAGAACCCGTTGGCGTCGTTGCATTCTTACTCGCCAAGCTCGCGGTTCATCGACGATAATCCGAGCCGTAAACGTGATATTTTGTAAACGTGATTTTTAGTGCATGTAAATTCAAGTTAGCAGATAAAACAGTATATTAAGCATATGGTAGTAAAAATTCACAGATAATATGCATGTAGATGTAAAACTAAACGGTTAAACGTGATATACGAAAATAAATTTGTATTAAATTCAAGTTAGCACAGAAAGGAATATATTATTAAGCATATGACAATATATAAGCATTTATAACGGAAATAAAAATTCATTTAAAAAATATAAATTAGTATTAATATACTGAAATTAACCGGTTAAACGTGATATACGAAAAAAAAAATTGTCTTAAATTCCAGTTAACACAGAAAACAATATGTTCCTTACACCACCAGTGGTTTGCTAATTTTGATGACCATGGTGATGCATCAAAGTATTCTGTCATCTTAGACAATCAATAATATTTTTTTTATTTCAATTTAATCATCTATTTATGTCACACCTGCCATCCTCTGAAAGGTTATTGTTAGAAAAGCATTAAGAATATATTATCTTGTTAAAATTTTACTTATAAAAATTGATTTATTCTCATAATTTAAAGATGACAATAACCAATAATAAAAATAAAAGCATTACTTAATTATTTAAAATGCACATGCACATTTTTGCGGTCTACGAAATCAAATTATTTTAGACTTTGGAAACCTCATGGACTTTGGAACACATTGTGAACAGCCGTGTTACAAATTAGCATTCATCCCGAACCGAGAACCGGCATCTATCTACGAAAATATTTCTATCTATTCGTTGTTAAAAATTCAGAAAAAATAATAATAAATAAGAGAAGAATAATATAAATCTGCAAATGCGAACAAATGGTTGCAAACTTCCAACAAGCGAATAGGATGAATCCGATGGGTTACCAAGTTTGAACTATTATCGCCAAAGTTGGCGGTGTTTACAACAACCGGGTTCTCTGCGGAAGTGCTTCCTTGTAGTTTAAACATGCATAATTTAAAGAGAGAGTAATCCTGAATTTTCCAGAAGACATTCTGTATGATTGAAGACATTTCTTAAATTCCTAGCCAAAATTAATTCATTAGATTTTGTTTCTTCTAATTATGTTTCAACATCATCTCATTACACGCAAGGTGAGGTAGAAAATTAGGATTGAATTTTGGCTATTTTTAGGGGAAAATGGGGTGATTCAAAATTTTCTTTCTGTTATATATAAAATCAAAATTTTCTTCTGTTATTGCCAAGGAAGCTGCTGCAATCCAAAAAAAGAAATGTATTTTACATCAATTTTTCAGATTTTGACAGTGCATTACAATTTTGATAATGCAGTATAAAAGAAAGCCATTTAATAACTTGTTAATAACATTTTCATAAACTTCAGTGGAAGCTGTATTAATAAGAAAGTATTTCCTGTATGAAATATGGGTTTAATGTGTAGCTTGTATTGTGATCTCAAAGTAGAATGTTGACTTTTTTGAAGATCAGTAGCTTTTTTAATAGTTATGCCTCATTTATAATGAGTAAAAAAATATTTCCAAACTATATCATGTGTACATTGGCTGCAGATTCATTTTGGTGTACTTTTATTTGTGATAGAAATAAAGCCTAATAATAATAAATAGATGTAACAGTGTCGAGGTGCGTTGTTATATGTGTCAATGAGTGGTAGTAGTTTAATTATAATAACATGAAAGCATTTAAGTTAAAAATTTACAAATGAATTTTAAAGCCAGTCATTCAACAATGTGACTCTGATTCAAAACTCTATATAAAGAAGGTTTTGAAATGGGCATTTGGATTTACCAAACTGTAGTTAGCAACATAATTGTGATATCAGCAGTATTAATAGAGAAATGCTGAAGTGGATCAGTTAACCTAGTATAGTAGGATAGTAAGCCATGTGAATATATTTAACAATGTAACGGGATTAAAATATGTGATCATAATATAACCTTTTATATAAGTTAGTTAACTTTAACACAACAGCTATTAGTTACCTCTAAAGCCTTGTCGAGTGCTTACTAATCATTGTTTGAGAGTACAGTTCTTTGACAACAGCAAAGATGATACCTTAGGAGAGATATATTGTAGACGTTGTTTACTGAAGTGATGCCTACAATTAAAATTGGTTGCCTTGAACTGCAACTTTAGAGACTAAAATATATCTACTTGGATTTTCTTTTCTATATAGACATAAAAACTTAGCTGTCTCAGTATCTCAAAGTGTTTTCTCTAGAAAATAAGGTAAATTAAACATTTTTCAGCATTAAAATATGTGTGATTTATTGTTTATTGAAACTTTGTGATTATTTTAATTATAAAATCTCCCTTGCCGTTCTCTTATGCAAACTAGTACAAGCTCACTGACAACTAAATACTTAACAAAAACACTAAAATCACAAGTAGCTTGTTCTGAATTCTGTTCCCATGTGTTCAATATGCTGTCTGCCTGAGGTTTTTGTGGCTTTCCTTATAAAATCCACCATTTGGTAATGTGCCATTATATTTGTTTGCAGCCCATCCCTCCTTTATTGACTGATAGCCGTAGTATGCTTTTTCTAATTATGTAATATAGTCACATATTCTTTGCACCAATAATACTTTATATCATTTTTAATTTAGGTACAGTTTATTTGCATTTGGTAGCTCAGTGTAGTGAAAACTCTATTGCGGAATGATCATTTTTGGTTTCGAATGGAGTTCTGCTTTAATTTTTTCTGCATCCGGTACTGCCTTTTTGCATTTTAAAGCGTATTCAACGGTTTTATTAGCTTAATTACATAACTTTTAAATGGTTAGTGTTAATATTTGAATCCGTATGTATTAGAAGGTAAGTTCATCTCTGGTATCTTTCTCTTTGGTCCTCCATACATGATTTGATTCATATCATTGGAAGTTTGACAAAATGTTTCAGATTTTGTTTGTTTTAGACATTAATAGAAATAAATGAATATAATTATACAACATACTTTTGTGTTCGTTTTTCTTCTGCGTAGGTTGCCTTTTTCCCACTTCTAAAAAGTGAGCACGAAATCAACCTTTTTTTTTTAATCCATTGTATCTGTGAGGGAAAGAAACTGGCAACCGTCTTTTACACGGATAGCATTTACAGATGCGCGTTTCTTTCTTTTGTTGCGTTTGGTAAAAATTCTCTTGCGAGCGTTTAGTTCTTCATGTTTATCCGGAGCTTTTAACAAATTAAGCGGAATTTGCGAAGAACTGGGAAAAAAAAAAAAAAAAAAAAAAAAAGCAATTGTCGGATGGGGGGAGGGCTTTTCTCTCTTTAGAAGTTATTTACTGTTATTCAGATTTATACAACTGCGAAATCAAATTCGTTATTTGGCTTAGGATGAAAGGGAGCTCAAATGAAAGGGGAATAAATGTGTGAAGAAAAAGCGGGGGAGGGGGAAGTACCGTTTACTATGAGCTTTACTCGGTAGCTTTTATTTATGATTTGGTCGCTGATTAAAATGAAGTCGGTTCGCATTTGGCAAAAGCGCACGCGCCGAGCTTTTGTAATTTCATTTTCCCGAAACCGGGCGAGATTGGGAATTTTTCTGCCCTCTTAATTTTTTAATACGGATGAAATGGCTTATAACGGCTGACGCCAACATAAAAATGTCACGTTAAATAATCGAGTCTTCGGAACGAAAAAGAGAAATAAGCGAAGCAAAAAATAAATAAATAAGTAAAAAGTGGGTAAGAAAGGAATATTCAAGGGAGAAAAAAAATAAGTTTCCATTTAATGCGCGACAGTGGAAACAACAGAAAAGCGGAAACATTTTAATGTGAATGAAACTCGTTTTGCTAATTGCCTCCTCTTGAGGAGCTTATTTATGTATTTCGAGTCTCAGAGATCGATTAAAAGACGCAATCTTTCTTTCACCCCTGGTACCATTCCTCCCTTTCTTAACCCCCCCAATTATAGGCTCTTTTTTTTTTTCCCCGCTTTTTCAGAAAGCTATTTGCCCGGATCGTGTGTCGAAATGGCTCTTTCGTCTTTTCATTGGTCGTTGTCTTTCTTTACTATGACTAAGTAAAATAAAAACAAAGAAAAGGCACCATCTCCGACTTTGTTAAAAATCAACGAAACAGGTTAATGTTATTCTTCTTATACTCCCTGTAGATTTGAAGAGCGAGTATATACTCTGCGCGTAGAGCAGCACTCTTTCCCGCTTTACGTTTTCGAGGCGGAGGGTAAAATTCTGCCCCTGCGCTTTACATAACCCCTCACCTTGGAAAATCTCTCCCTCCCGCCTTTTTTTATTATTATTATTCTTTTTTAGGGGGAAAGAAAGCAATGCATTGGGTTGCCTAGAGAGAGAAGCAGGGCGGCAGTTGCCAGTGAGAGAACCATTCTTCTCTTTTAG